ATCGATTGCCTCCTGTGAAGATTCACCCTCTCCTGCGTTGCATCAGCTCTGGGTAGGTGTCGGGCAGTGCAATAGTTTGGAAGGGGAGAACCTGTTTCAGCTGCCCTCCACCTCTGATGCCCTGTGTTCCAGCAGACACTCGGTAGCAGGGCTTTGCTCCTGGGCAACTCTTGGCTCTCTGCCGGTATTTGAGTTGCTGCTGCTCTGAGCACTTACTATGTGCAGAGATGTGAGGACAGTGTTTTTTGGCTCGGTAAGTCCTGTTGCCTGATGTGACTTTTGCTGTCTAGCAGAATTGCTCCAAAACAATCAATCTCTGGGGTTCTCTGTTTCCGGGATTCCCCTCACCTCTGTTTCCTGACTCCTTTCCCGTCACTTTCTCCCATGATTTCCTGTGCTTTCCCTGTCTTGTCTTGCCTCTTAGCTCCCTAGGCTCAGAGTGCAGGGGAACTGTCTGAGTGTAGGGTAGCTCTCTGCAGCCTCCTGGGAGTTTGTCCCTTAGCTACTCGGCTCCTGATTTCCAGAGCTCCCCACTTTAGGACTCTTATTTCTGTCTTTTCATGTAGGGATGTCTCTTTTTTTCTCAGCATTTTAGAAATGTTGGGGTACTGCCTGCAACTCTCTCTCAGATACATGGAGCTGGTGCCTCTTTGCTCCATCACTGGCTTTCACACCGACTCCCAGCAGTGGGAGAATGTCCCAGGTGGGGAAAGTGCAGATGTTTTTCCTGAAGAGACTAGGATGAATCCTGTTTCCATTTAGAGCCATTGCTCCTGTTGTATTCCACAGAAACATGAGCGGGGAATGCATGAAGATTGAGTTGCTCTCTCATTGCTTCCTGGGAGCTATTCCTGGGAGTCATAAGAAATGTTTTCTATTTGTTCGGTGCTCACCATTGTACACATGCATCAGACCTGTGTATAAGAGACAGAGGAGAGCACAGATTGTCTGCTGTGTCTAAGCTGCATTCAGCCCAGTTTGCAAGGGGTGGAAGAGAAGGGGGGATTCTACACCTGCTTTGTCACATGTGGCTTCCGGACCTGGTAAGTTAGATCAGGTAGAGGTCCCTATCCATACCTTTACCCTCTTCCCAGGAACACTCTTGGCATCAGATTGGCACTGAGCACCTAAACAGGACCTTTGTCTTGCAGTTAAGTTGGCTATCTTGGTGCCCTCAAAGCAGCCAAAAG